AGTACAGAGCCCTGGTGAGAAGTTCTCTCTTACGTGCTGGCAAAAACCATGGGGATGCTCCAAAGGAAAACAGACACACTAATGGGGAGCAATATTGAAAGCAGCTCAAAGCAACAACAAAAAAGAGCTTCCCTGAAGTTGTCCCCATGCCCCTTTGTTATCTGCTTGGGTTTCCTGGGTTAAAGCCACACGAGAAGTTACAGGAAGGCTGGCAGGTAGGATTGCTCCATGTGGGGGCTCTCCATGCTGGATAAACCATGGACCCCCCCTGAATGCTGAGGTTAGCCATGCTGGTAAATGGCTGTCACTGAGCCCCTGGGACACTGTGCAGTTTATTTGACAGCAAGCTCCTGGCATAATCAGCTGTGGGTGAAACGAGTCATTTAGGTGTGTGGAGTTTTTACTTCAGGTGGGAAGAGCTTGTTAGGGAGGCAGGGCCCTGGCCCCAGCCTCACTGCTCCTCACTGGCCAGGGCAGCTGCCAAGAGAACAGTGCAGCAGTTCATATGGGAGAGGAGCAGCTGCCAATGTATGAGCATTACCTTTAAAAATATATAATAAACAGATTACTTTATTAGTTTCTTCCCCACTGTTGCCAAAAATTACCAGTAGAGACCCACGTCCCATTAACAGCTGCTTGCCCACATGCAGGTGAAATGAGCCCTTGTCAGGGGCAAGTACAGACCTTGCTAAATTACTGGGAGGGGTGTGGGTGTGAGTGAGGTTCCAGCAAACCACGGACTGTCACTAACAGAAGTGCCACCATGGCAGTGAAATATGTCCCCAAGGCACAGGGCTGTTCTGTGTCAGTCCAGATGTGTTAAGCACCAGGATATAACTGACTGACCAGCTGGGGCTTGGCACCAGCTCATTTAATAATGGTGGTTGCTCTGTATGATCTGTCATGCTATGAGTACAGACATAAAACCAAACCTCTCATTTTAAACAAGGGAAAACATGAGTAGTTTTGTAATTTTTTTTAAAGCTCTCTTGCTCTCCTGCTGCTGAGAACTGATCCCACCTAGGTGAGTTATTTCTACCAGAGCTGCTTTACCCCTATAAATTCTGGGTTATTTTTCTTATGTTAATTAAGCTCTAAGGCTGACCTACCACTAAGTGAGGGTCCAGCTCTTTGGATGAACAAAGCTCAGGTTCAACCTGGCAGTTTTGACTGGCAACAGCCCTGTGGAAAAGCAGCTCAGGATCTTGCCTCAGGCAAAGGGACTTGCACTGATTCATCCACATAACTTTTCTCTGGCTGGTTTGAGCCTGAGTGGTGATTCACCTGCACTTGCTGGAGAATAAAGCCCAGGTCTATGATTGTCTTGTCTTTGAGCAGCCTGGGCTACTGGAGTGAGCAAACCAGCCTTCTGCCTCTGCCCTCTTGCAAAGCCAGGCTGTGTTGCTGGCTGGGGAAGGGGAGGATGAGCAAGCCCAAGCTGGCCCTTCCTCCAGCCCTAGAGTGTGGGATCAATGGCAGAAGCAGCAGCATGATGGAGCACACCCCTGCCTCTCCACAGTGCAGGTTTGGTACCACAGAAAGCTTTAAGGTGCCAGAGAGGGGTGCAGCAGCTGCAGCCCAGCCCCACTGTGCCTCATGGCTGAGAGAAGCCCAGGTAGGAAAGTGCCAATTCCACCACTGCCCCAAGGCACCCCATTTTTTAAAAGACTGAACATTATAGGAATTGGCCAGTTTTTTGCTAAGGAGCCTGCATGAATCATCTGTCCCAGGGCAAACTAGCAACTGACACGTGCAGAAGACAATAAACGCAGCAGCAGCTGCTCCTGTTCATGAGCCTTTGCTCCTGCCCCAACCCACCAGTTGGCTTATGTGTGTACTAAGTCCCAGTCACATGCTTAATGAGCCAAGATTTGGTTGTGGTTTGGGTTGTGGGTTTTATTTTGTTGTGTTGTGTTGTTTGGTTTGTTTGTTGTTTTTTTTAGTAAGTTTCCAGTCAGTTTTTTGTCCCTTGGAATGGGCCTAAGTCCCAGGTTTGGAGCCTTCAAAGAGTGGCTCTTCCATCTGGCTGGTTTGGGTTCTCTTCAGACCACATGTGCTTACAGTTCTCACTGGACTGTCTGTGCCCACGCAGGGATGTTGTGTTTTAACCAAAATCCTGAGCCCAGCTCCATCCCAGGGCTCTAGTTTGTATCAGCTAAAGCTGTTCCCACACAGCCAGAGCACCCAACACCCTTGGATTTCACTCGAGCTGGGGATGCAAACACAGATTCAACAAATGCTCTGCCCATCCAGCCCCCTGTGCTGCCACCTCAGGTGCCTCTGCTCCTGGTGCCATATGCAGAAGGAAATGCCTTTCCCTCTTGACTCCAGCTGGTCTGGGTTTGCTGCTGTAGTGTTGCTCCTGCTGTGATCTCCCATCTGCTCAGTCCTACCTAACCATGGTGGACACACCCTTTGTCCTGATTTCTGTCCTTGAGACTCCATTATGGGTGTCCCATGGACACCCCAATGGACATTTCTCATGATCGGTGATCCAAGAGCCAGGCAATGGCCAGGGCCTCTGCACAGGTGTTGCACCCAGCTCTGATGACTGGTTGCTGAAGCTCAGCAGGCTCTGCAAAAGACCCTCACTCTCCTTTCTACCACTGGGCAATGTCAGAAAGCTTTGGCTTAAGTGCAGAGGGAAACTGGGAAGGAAGCTTGTTTTCCCAGTGTTTAACCAGGCATCTAGATAGAAGCTGACTTTAATCCCAGTGCTCATCTGCATCCATTTCTTCCTGGTAATAAAAGCTTCAAAGGAGGCTTGAGAACAAAGTGCTGTTAAACAGACCGTGGAGCATAATCCAGCCTCACCAAGAAAAGTCTAAAAAAGAGTTTTCACTCCTCCCCATCACTACCTGCTTGGGATCTGCAAGATATTTTTGGTCCAAAAACAGCACCCAGGAGTTTGCCTGCTCTCACCCTGGCTTGGCTGGGTCACAGCTGGGTCTCTGTAGCCAACCTGTGGCCATGGGCACCCACTATGTGGCTTCTGTGCCCTTCAGGAGAGGGGAAGAGGAGCTCTGGATGTGGAGACTCTCGTTAACCTGCCCACAACCTGTGGGCACAGACCTTTGGAGAAAAGCTGTGGTTTTGCCCCCTGTCAGCACTAAGAGTCTCTGGGCAGTCAGTTCTCACAGGCAGCCTGGAGAACCATGCCCAGAGGAGAGAGCAGAGCAACAGACTGGCCCCGAGTCCTCCTCAGCATCACATTATCTGGCAACAGCTTAACCCCCCGTGCAACCCCTGGCAGAGCAGACATGCCTGGCAGATCATCACCTGCACCATCATGTGCCTTCTACAACCCCCACCCCCCCCAAATCCTACTGTTCTCCTGATGACCATAGAGCTTTTGCACTTCAGCCACTCCACTGCATACATGCGCTGCAAGTGCCATCCTTCATGGGGGGACACCTCATGGCTGTCCCCTTCTGCTGCTGGGCTGGTCCAGGCTTTCTGCTCACCCTGTCCCATTCCCAGCACCCCAAGATAAAGAGCAAACTATTTATCTGCTCATTGTGCTCACTGCAGCCTTCCTGTTATTATTCAGAAAAGTTATTCAGGTGATGATGATTTTTGAAAGTACACACACCCTCTCCCTCCCCCCCGTATGAATTTTTGAGTTTTCTTTCCAGAGGAACTGCAGGAATGTCACTCCTCCTTGGCTTGCACATCTCCAGTACATCAGGTGGCCATGGCAAACTCCTCACACCCCAGCAGTGAACGTGAGCACTGATCAGTCAGCAGTAAAATGCTCTGGTGCTTACAAATAACCTCATTTCCTTCCACCCTGTCTGTGTTCTAAGTCATTCCCAACACCTTGCAGGGCTGTCTGCCTGTGTGCATTATTCATGCACTAGAATTCAGCACAACTCCCTGCTCTGTCACTCCTCTAAGCCCCCAGGGGAAAAGCCCAACCCTTCCAGCTTCCTGCAGCCCCCAGACACCACAGACAGGCTGTGAAACAACTAATGTGCAAGACAAATGTCAAACAAGGGGTGTCGGCACCAGAGCAGACACACCTGAGCAGCTGCAGAGTTCAGAAACACAGTGTCAGTGCTGGGCCCTTCCCCAGCCCAGGCTGCAGCAAAAGGGAAAAGCATTTCAGCAGCTGGCTGGGCTGGTGTGAGCCTGACACAAGTGCCACCACCACACAGGGGACATGGGAGCTCATCAAGCTGACATGAGCAATTAGCATGCATGGAGCTCTTTCCACCTCCTAATTCAATCAGAGTAATTCATTAGCAAAAAGTCCTCAGCAGTAGTACCCTATCAGCAGCTCCTGATAGAAGACGTGTTCTTTGATTTGCTTTAGAAGATAAATTGACCTGGGAAGCTCCAGTCTGGCTTGTGCTAATAAGTCTCTGTAGGGCCATTGTGAGAATTAATTTATTGATCTAAGGATCTCTCCTTAGTGCTCATCTGCTCAGCACCTGGTCTGAAGAGACATAATAGGTCTAACACACTGGAAATACTGGAGCAGGTCACCTAACCCTAGGTGTCTGTCCTGTATTAGCTCTCTTGGGCTGAAGTCTTTCTGGTGCAGGTCTCAGTTTCCCACCTGTACAGCCAAGGGGACAAAAATGGGTCTTCCTGCTCAAAGAGCTTTATAATTAGCAGTAGGGGAAGTGTTACACCAGCACCAGCAATTCCTGTCTTGGTTCCTCACCCTTTTTTATACCTTCAAAAGCCCCAGGATATCCCAGGGTTTCTCAGTGGCTGTGGAAAAGGCCTCTGCTCTCTCTCTGAATGATGGGTTTTGAATACAATTGCCCTGTGTCTGCCATCTCCTGTCAATGAACAGCCTGGCAATGTCTCTGCTTCAGCTGCACAGACACACTCCTTGTCTCTAAAGAGCAGATGGTGAGACCCAGCTGAACATCCTGCCTAAACCACCCATGTTCTTGTTCCCTCTGAGAGCAGCCAGACAGGTCAAAGCAATGCCACCAAGTACAGATGTCCCTCCCCATTAACATTCCCCTCCTTTTCTTCCCCTGCAGCTTGAAAGCTGTCCTGATGGGGAAGCCCCAGGACAACACCGTGGACCTGTCGGGCATCCCGCTGACGCTGCGGGACCTGGAGCGCATCACGTCCTACCTGCAGCGCAGCTCGGAGCAGATCGACACGGTGGAGCTCTGCTTCACCGACCTGACGGACGAGATGCTGCTGCAGCTGCTGCCCTCCCTCTGCCTGCTGCCCCACCTCACCACCCTCTCCCTCAATGGCAACCGCCTCACCAAAGCCATCCTGCGGGACCTCACCGAGACCCTGAAGGACCCCAAGAAGTTCCCCAGCATCACCTGGATCGACCTTGGCAACAATGTGGACATCTTCTCCTTGCCACAGCCCTTCCTGGTGAGTCTGAAGAGACGATGCCCAAAGCAAGGCAACTTACCAACCATCCTGGAGTTTGGTGAGGGGCAGGTGAGTGACCTGGAGAGCCAAGACGGGCTGGCTGAGAGCCAGGAGGACCTGAGAGCTGGAGCAGGCGGGACTGACAACGCAGCCTTGCAGCAGACGGACAGAACAGTTGAGGCTGGGGAGCTCCCCAGCTCGGAGCAAGGTGCTGCACCACAGACATGATGTCCAGCTCCGTGGGCCTTGGTAGGTGTTGAGCAAAGGCAACTGAAACTCAAGCCCCCAGTGCTGGAGGTCCTGGTGGAGGGGCTGGTCCCACAGTGGGATGCTCCAGGAGCTGGGACCACTGCCCTCCTGTACGAGGAACATCAGCTTCTGTCTGTTCAAAGAACACAGAAAGGTGATTGTGTCAGACACCTGTTTTTTATAAAAGCTGGCCAGGTGTTTCTAACCATCAGTGACATGCTGTGCTTTCTAACCTCCCACAACTGCATCTCCAAGGGGGTGCAATACAAAGCCCTTAGAAGAGCACAGAAGGGGAGAAGGAGGTGCTCAGACTTTGCAGGGAAAGGTTCCCTTTCCTTGATGCTGGATCCAGCCAGACCCCAGCTGCCCTCCCACGGGCAGACAGCAGCCACCCCAGAGAGGGGAGCTCCCCAGCTCGGAGCAAGGTGCTGCACCACAGACATGATGTCCAGCTCCGTGGGCCTTGGTAGGTGTTGAGCAAAGGCAACTGAAACTCAAGCCCCCAGTGCTGGAGGTCCTGGTGGAGGGGCTGGTCCCACAGTGGGATGCTCCAGGAGCTGGGACCACTGCCCTCCTCCTGTACGAGGAACATCAGCTTCTGTCTGTTCAAAGAACACAGAAAGGTGATTGTGTCAGACACCTGTTTTTTATAAAAGCTGGCCAGGTGTTTCTAACCATCAGTGACATGCTGTGCTTTCTAACCTCCCACAACTGCATCTCCAAGGGGGTGCAATACAAAGCCCTTAGAAGAGCACAGAAGGGGAGAAGGAGGTGCTCAGACTTTGCAGGGAAAGGTTCCCTTTCCTTGATGCTGGATCCAGCCAGACCCCAGCTGCCCTCCCACGGGCAGACAGCAGCCACCCCAGAGAGGAAAGCAGCCAGGATAAACCTGAAACCCTTCCAATCCTGACTTCAGGAGCTGCTGATGAATAGCATATCTGCTGAGCTACAACAGAGGCTGATCACACACTAACCAGGGCTGCTTTTCCCAAAGGAAGAGCTTTGCTTTCCTGGTGCAGAGCTAAATCCCAGCCTGCTGCCTGCCAGGATGCCACTTGCCCTCCAGCCTTATCGAACCTAGGCTGGCACGTTGTGCTTGCCTTCTATTTATTCAGAGGTGCAATCCAGTTCCCAGCAGCCGTGTTGCTCCAGTAACTCCAGAGCTCTCAAGGTGGTACCTGGAGCTTGAACCAGTGATGGAGTGTCTGTTCCATTTTGGGGAGTGACCTGCAAACTCTGGAGCCAGGGCTCAGCTCAAGGTTTGCCTCTGAGAAGAGAGACCACAACACTGAAAACTTTATAAAAGACAAAATAATCCTGGGGTTCATCCGTGTTCCACTGGGGGCTGGGCAGACACAGCCAGGGGACACTGAAATGCTCAGAAAGGCTGTTGGGTCCCTTGGCTCTGCCCATCACCCCCTGGAAGTGCTTTGTTTCTAAAGTGTTGGTTTGTTTTTTTCTAAAAGACATGGGTTTGATTTTATTTTATTTGTGATGGGAAATGGATCACCATTTAGGATCAGCACTGGAACGTGCACTTTGGCCTTTGAACTAGAATTTCATTTAATCCTAAACCTGGAGCAGAGCAGGGAAGTGTGAAAAACTTCCCCTCCTTTGCGGACATTCAAAGGACCAAACCTGACTCCCTTTGCTAAATGGGAGCCCTTTTCTATCTGTTCAAAGCCTTTGCCCTGACCAGCTCTACAGCACCATGGTCCTGGCTCACAGCACTGACCCTCTGGCTTTGCTTTTTCTGGGTGCAAACACAGTCAGACTCCTTGATCTCTGTTCATTTAACATCACTGCACTGGGAAGGTTTTCCCAGAGGGGTCTCATGCTGTTGGTGATTGTTTGTCCTCTGTATGCAAGTAGATAACTTAGAATAAACTCTGCTACTCGTTCTAGTGCATTTGGCAATGTTCAGTATGATTTTCATGTATCCAACCCTTTTTTTTTTTTTAATGCTAACTCTTTCCAACAGGCATGAAAAGCCCCATGCAGTGAACAAACTGTTCTGTTTGAAATAAAGGAGTTATCCGTAATAAAAATAAAAAGACAATGTTTAATAAAGGCCCAGTACTGAATTTTTCCTCTCTGCAGGATGAAATGCCCAGAGCATCCCAGCAGAACAACAGTCCTAAAGGTTCCAGGTCTGGTTCTCCAGGGAGCTCAAAAAAAAAAGGGGGTTGCTGCAGCTGCCTGGAGCAGTAAATAGCCCAGTTTATGGGCTGGATTCTGCAGGGTGGGCATAAGGTGGACACAGAAACATAAAAACATCTGATACATTTTAAATGTTGCCAGTGTGCAAAACTAATGTGAAAGAGAGGAACAGAGAGCAGCCCCACAGGGGGTTTGTCTCCAGTGTTACAGTCTCAGAGCGCTGGATGAACAGCTTTTTATTTGCAGCAAGGACAGTTCAGGTGCTGTTTATTCCAGCAACTAAATCACATCAGAGGCACACGCAGGTTTGCCCTGACTCACAGGAGCCCTTCCCCATACACAGTGCTTGGGGACTGTTCCCACCATTACTTTCCTTGAAAAATTCCTTCTATAAGAGGTCAGGCACTGGATTGCTCAGCACCACAGTACTCAGCACCAGGCTCCCCTCCTTCCTATGCATAGCTTGGCCCTCTCTGTCAAAATTATTTAAATCACAAGCCCCTTGCTGGAAGGTTTTATTTTCTGCTAAGTATTTGCCCAGGAGCCAGCTGTCCTGAACCTCAGCACCATCTGGACCCCCCAGTTTGGCCAAACAAACCCATAAACCAGAGTTACTCTGCATTTAGAGGGCTGCATCATTTATTGATGCTTTGTTTCCTCAATGACACAAACCACCCAGGGGATTGTTCCTGCCACATTTCCCCTCCAGCTGAGCTTCTACCTGCTGTGAAACACATTAATCAACCAGAAGGTATTTTGCATCTATCGGGCCTTTCCTTCCAGGGCTACCAGCAGCTACCAGCTCACCTCTGGGCTGCAGAAGGCTAAATGCACAGCTCCGTGCCCAGTGCTGCCCCAGACTTGCTGTGAATTGGGAATGCCTCATCCCAGCTGTCCCCCTCTGCTGTGAAATGCTGCAGTGGTGTCCCTGCCATCACCTTCCAGGGCTGTGCTGCAAAGGACAAGTCTCTGGAGAAAGACCCCATGTTCCTCAGCCTGTCACCCCAGGCAGATGCTGCTCCACAGGGGCAGACACACTGTGCCAGCATCTCTGTGCATCTGAGAAAGGAAAATCACCAGAAAGGGTCTTTATATTATAGATATATTTGTGCAGGCTGAATTCCTGACTTACACAGGATAAGAAAAAAACCCACAGCTCTCCCAGAGACACTTACAAAAACAAGGGCTTTAGCTAATCAGGCTCTTCCTCGCAGTGTGGATTAGATCAATTAGACACTTTACTGCACTTCAGGATGATGATGATCCTGTGGGCCCAGTAAAGACTGGGTGCTTTTTTTAAGCAAGCAGCACAAGCTTGTTTCCCTTCCCAGCTTATCAGCATCAGAACATGACAGGAGTTCACCCCATATATAATCAATGTTCCCTGTGCTACACTAGGCTATTAGTTCTGGTCAGAAGCTTTAAATGGTCCTAGAAGAAGGATTCAAGTGCTCAAAATCATTGCTGTTAGAATATTACAGTTGACTGAGGTCATTTGTTGTAAAAGGGGGAAGGAAATATCCACCATAAAATAAAGAACTCCATAAATGTCCAAGCCCAGTTTGGTCAGTTATCTCCAGCAGCACCACACAGCTCTGCCTGTGCACAAACAGAACCAGTCTGTGGGAGATTTATGCCTTCAGCAACATAAATGTAACTGGAAATCATTCTGTGCAGATAGCAGAGCCCACATGGAGGCGAATCAGAACAGTAGGTGAAGAAGGAGGGAGGCATGAAAGGGCTGAAGCCAGGTGCTCCAGAGGGCTCATTCCAGCTGGGCTATCTCAGAAGAGTTTGCACAAAACTCCTTTGGTTTTTGAAGGTGATTATTCTTTTTAAATGAGGGTTTAGGCTCCTGTGGGAGTTGGGAGCAGGCAAGAAGGCTGGTGATGGTCAACCCCCAGCAGGGATCCTGCTGGAAAGCCAGGAAGCCACAAAAAGCACTGCTGAGGGCATCAAGAAGCTCAAAACCACTTTTCCCAAAAGCATTGCTTGCTGCTCACCAGTCCCTTGGAGAGGAGCAGAAGGCTGCAAACACCCACCCCAAACTGCCCCAAACTCCCACCCAAAACTGATGCAGAGAAGAAGCAAAAAAGTAACCCAAGAGACTGAGGGGACACCAAGGGGAGAAGCAGCAGCTGAGTGGGGAGAAAGAACAGAACCACACTGGGTTACCACACTGTGACTGACCCTGCACAATCATGTCCCTGCTGTCCCAGGGTTCAGCACACCTGGTTCCAGCAGCAGGGGAGGAGCAGCTCCTGCAGGACCACTGGTGTTCTCAGAAGCACAAAGGCCCATGTTCCATGAACTGGGAGCACAGCGCCAGCCGCTGCTATTGCCAAGGAAACCGACTGACCTTATTAGCAGTATTCATGTATTAATGCTTATGAGGAGGGGAAAAACAACAAACCTAACCTCTCTGGTGTAATGTACTGAGATGAGCAGCAGATTTAATCTCTTCCTGACCTCTTTGTTGTCCTGGAAACATTGTGCAGTGAGCCCACTCTTCTTTCACCCCAGGGGCAGCTGAGTTTTTATCTGCCTGGGGGCCGTGTTCCACCAGCAGATACACCCAGCAAGAGGAGATGATATTTCCAGCTCTGTTAAACATCTTTAGCATTAAATTCTGAAGGACAAATAGGAAACCAAATCTGTCACTCACAGTTCTCCAACCGCTTCCAGTGATGGAGGTTCCACCACTTCATACAGAGGGCCCCATCCTCAAGGAATATTGCTGTAAGCAAAAGAGCTGATGACCCTGCACTAACAGGAGCTGTCAAGACCTAGGTTTGTGCACACCCAGGCAGCACACAGTA